GGGCATTTTTGTCCAGAATTGTCAGCTTAGTATAAATAGCTTCTTTTTCATTTTTAGGTAAAGCAGATAGTATCAGAACATAGCTGCGCTCGTGGGTTCGAAGTTTGTAGCCATTTTGGGCAATTTTATCTACATTTCATCATTGAATCTTTGTGTTTATCTTAGTAATTAATTAATATGAGTTTATCTTCATCTATTTCTTGTTTTTCTTCTTTAATTATGAGTAGCTAGACCCATAAGCTAGGGTTGTGGCTCAACCCTAGTGTGGGTAATTGATGGGTCTTGTACGGAAAAATTGACTATGGGTGTTTGATATTTGGGCTAATTCCATGTTTAATTGCTAAATTAGAGGTTGCAAACACTAGTTTGTGTTTAGTTGACTTTTGCTCTTCTTGAGAAAGAGAGCCTAAGTCTCTAGAATTAGTCCAACAAGGAATTGGGGCATACTTAAGAGAATTGATAGCCCCAATTAAAGGGTTAAACCGAGAGATCGTAATACCCGACTTGAACCCTAGTTGCTTGTGCAAATTTGCATATCCAATTGATCTTGAGAAAGTCAATTCGGGCAAAATCACTCAAACCACCGAGAGGTGTAGAGTGGGTAAAGTAGTGCAACGGTTATATCATACTCCCCAAATATGTCAAACGTGCCTTAGACTCAAGTACTCGTCAATTGACCACCTAGGCGGAAGTCACTACCCTAGTGCCTTTTAAACCATTTGAACAACCCGTAGCATTATAACTCTTAGCTTAATCTAGTTGCATTTACCATTTGTAGTTTGATAAATAGTAGAAGTAAAACAAAAACCCCAAAAATGTTTAGAAGTGTAATTTGGAACACATACGCAACTCTACACTAGATAGATACTCGATTCCAAATTCTAGCTCTCTGTGGATATCGATCCTGACCCTAAATCGGGTAAAAGCTGCTCCGACCCTCTCTCGCTACTCAATTAGTAGTGCGGAGTAGGCTGCGATCAACACCCCGCAGGAGATAACCCACCTACTTCGCCTCAAACTAACATCTCTTTATACCCTTCCACCGTCATAAACATCACACAATCACTTAATCTTCTTGAGTCTGAACTCATATCACGACATGAAGTCTACTTCACTCCCCAACTAAACAATGAAAAGATCCTTCAACACACCTATAACTCGGGGCTATACATCAAATCAAGATGGAAATCAAGCACCAATAGTTCTTTCTACACCTCAAGCAGAACCTTCTCGTCACATTCAAATCATATGAACACATCTCGCAGTCACATCATACTCATCACGTAGCCATCTAGCAATCACTTCCACTAATAGGGACACTACCGAACATATAAATTAAAAAGTACGTGCTCACACAATCAACACCTCAGTGCTCAAGTTACAGTCAAAACCCAGCCTCAAGTCCTCCAAACTGGCCCAACATCAACACACAAAAATCACATCTCGCACCTCATCCAGGGAATCATAAACTGTCATGATGGCACCTATCGTGGTACTAGGCAAGCCGACTTTTTACAAAAAACAACACGATATATTTCATTTTAACGATAGATTCAAGCTATTTACTAATAAAACTTCATATAGAAATTCTATATAACGAAAGTGTGGAAAAAAAAGCCTGACATCGGGTGTCACTAGTCATGAGCATCTACAAAAAATCTGTCCGAAAATACTGAGACTAAGGCCCAAACATGGCATTCAGCCTAATTACCGAAACTCTTTCTAAAACACATAAGTATTATATAGTTTCAACCAAATATGCAACTTTATAGTTGCTACGGGACAGACCAAGTCACCATCCCCAATGGTGCACGCCCACACGCCCGTCACCTAGCATGTGCGTCACCTCAAAATAGTAAAACGATACGAAATTCGGGATTTCATACCCTCAGGACTAGATTTACAATCGTTACTTACCTCAAGCCGATCAAATCTCTACTCGCGATGCTCTTGCCCCTTGACTCAGCCTCCAATGGCTCTGAATCTATTCACAACCAGAACAATACCATCAAGTACTTAATGAAGGTACAATCATCTCAAGAGGGGATAAATATCAAATCATAAAATAGTTCAAGATACCATTATTCAAAATCTCAAATGTCAAGAAGATTTTCAACTATAATCCGAAAAAGTCCACCGATTAGTTGATTCGCCCAACACATGCGTCATGCAATTATATCAAACATAATCAAGTAACAAGAAGGACCGGAGTCCTAGATCAAGTAGGGTCGTCACCCAATTATCAAGAGAATCAAGAGCCATATTAAAAGTGGCTTTCCCATCCATACTCAAAATGGACAAGGTCCATGATTAGGATGGAGTGTGAATCCAAAGTCAAGATGGGTTAAGATCCAAATAAAAGGCATACCAATAAAAGTGACAAAGTCACTATCACAAGAGGGATAAAATCCCAACAAGAATGCAATGATGCTCAAGCAATCCGTATATGTGGGCGAGTTAAATTGTCTTTCAAAAATACTTCACATGACACTCATATAATTTTTAACAATATCATAACTCAATTACGAAATTATACCCTTAATGACCACTAATAAATCAAAATGCCTCAAGATATTCTTTCTCAAGCAATAAAGCAAGTAAACTAGTAAAGTAGCAGCGAAGTCAATATGACAACAAATTTTACCTCAATTTCACCAAACCTTGACCAGTTACAATATCTCAAAAAATTAAATTAAAAGAAACACTCAAGTTTTATGTGCAAACCTTGGAGCTTTAGTGTTTCTAAAGCTCAAACGACATCAAGGGATTTAAGATCTTCTAAGCTAAGAAAAGAGCGATTTTCCTAAAGTGTGCTCATTATCTTGAACGAATGTCTCTTGTACCACAAGTTTGAGAGAGTTTCTCCACAAATCCAAACATAGGGTTTCAAATAAGCTTAACCCATCTTGATTCTTGAATTTAACATTCAAACATATATTCAAAAGATAATGACTAAAACTTTTATGTAAACAAATGTGATCTTAATGTGTTGTGAGAGAATGGAACTTGTGTGGATTGAGAGTTCTCCAATAAAAGGGCTAGAACAAAGAAGAAGAAGAAGAAAATGTCTATCAGAGAGAGAAAGAGATTTTGCTAATATAAAGGGTTTATCTCCCAAATGGGTAGAAGCTAGATATTATTTTTGTCAAATGGATCAAAATAGATTTAAGGGATCCAATAGGATATACTACGTCTTTTTTTTAATATCCCCTTTTTATTATCAAATAAATTAGAAAAATTAAATTTAAGAAAAGTGATAAAACATTAGCAATAAAAACAAGATCACCTAAATACACATAATTTATTTATAAAATTTAGGGTGTTACAAATTTAATCTTTTATAATATGTTGAAAATAATTCATAAAATATTTTTTATTGATCATAGAAATAGAACAATTTTACTTTGGTCTTGAGAGTTTCTTCTTTCGTTGAAGTTAGCAATCAATAATTTTTAGAAACTTAAATTTTTATAATTTAATTTTATAACTCAAACACAAATTTTAATATAATATTTATGTAATTTTTAAAACTTTTATATTCATTAAGATAGGATACACGCGCAACTCGCGTATTCTAAGACTAATATTAGGAAAAGAGAGGATAGCTCTCCATCTGATCTCCGGTTAACTAGCACGGTTCAAATCATTTGTTTCAAAACTAAGTGAATTTCTTAAATAGTTTTTGCTAAAATGAAAATATGCGTAAAGTTTTTGAAAAAGAAATACTCCTTTGTGGCCCTTCCCCAGATTTTAGGTGAATACGAGATATTTTGTGCATCGAACTTCTTTTTAGAAAATGAAAAATATGCTTAAAATTTTTGAAAAAAATACTCGTTTGTTCTCTAGTAGTGTTTGGTTGTAATTTTCTTTCTACTAATTTTTTAACAAACACTTTCTAGAAACAAATGCGTGAGTTGTTGATGGTCGGAGTAGGGAAAAAAAGATTCTAAGGAGTTGTTGATGGCCACTTAAACTTGCACCCGATGTCATCCCGGTAAACAAACTTACAACTTTCTCATTTAGATACTCAAAGTTGAGAGAATAAGTATTATTAAATACCTCTGACCGTTGACCATGCTTGTGTGGTAACGCCTTGTGTGATGTGGCAATAGTACGTGCCAATCACGCGAATTAGATTTGTGAATTCAGTTTATTGGAATAAAAAATACTAAAGAAAGACAGAAACTAAAAATAAAAAGAAAAACCCAAATGCCTCCAGGTACCCCCTCCTCATCTTCTTCGTTACCCTCTCATCACGGTCCTCTTATCTCTTACTTTTTCTTTTATTTTTTTCGTTAACACTTCCCCTTTTCTTCCAATTCTTTTTCTGTCTTGACATAAAAGAAAACTATTTTTCCTCTTCCTCTGTATGTTCCGTCGTTCATAGTTTCACAGCAAAAAATTTCGAACTTAAAATTGAATCAGTAAAATCCACGGTATTTCACAACAAAGGAATCAAAACTTAAAAAATGAGCAGCATAGGAACGGGTTGTGACTTATCGGTGACAATATTATTGCCAGACGGCAAAGTATTTCAGATTAAATATGCTGGCAAAACCGTCGATAACAGTAGAAACGAGTTATTCATTGGTGCTTAAAGGTTCTATGGTTGACTCACACTTTGACCATTGAAAATGATGGCTTGGGGGTTTGGGCAGACTCCATTTGAGCAGAACGATTTGAGCAGACTTCATTTGAGCATAACAATTGAAAATGTAGAGTTCTTCGAGAGAGACGACGGAAAATGAGTGTTTTAGGGTCTTTAGGTCAAAAATGACACGTGGCAGGTTTTAATTCGTTTATTGCTGATTGGGTTGCTACGTTTGTGAAATTATTATGCACGCGCTATGATTCAACGGTCGGATGTGTTTATTAGTTCACTTATGCCGGGAGGTTTTTTTGCCAAAAAAAAGTAACACTAATTCTGAAAAAAAGAAAATGTAAAAAAGAAAACGGAGGAATATCCGTTGAAAACTTCAATGCGTAAACCAACGGAAAGAGAGAAAACAAACAAACGACGAAGTATTGACGCAAACCGAGAAAAAAAGAAGAGAAATCAGAAACGAGGAAAGAAGCAGGTTGTAGATCAGCTGACATTTCAACAGCATATATATAAAAACCGGTGCGCGCCAAACCCACCGAATTCCCCAGTTCACACGGGTCGCGTGCGTCTACTACGATTCTTCATAGTTACGCCAAAATGGATGATTTCTTCAATTGAATTTCAGCTCGGAAACCCATGGCTTCGTCGCCGTCGTTTCTCACCGGCGAGAGAGCTGTGGCAGCACTCTTCATTGCTCGAATTGTCTTTTCTATCCCTCAATCGCTCCTCTCCGAATCCCTCTCCCTTTCTCTCCTCTCTGTCCTCGCTCTCTCTGTCGAGATCTCCGTCGATGCCTCTTCTTCAGTTTCCCTCCCTCACTTCTTCAAAACCAGGTTTATTTATGATTAAGTTTATGCTAACCCACCGCAATTATCATGATGGTCACTGTTTTTTTATAATTTAAAAAATACCTTTTTTGGATTGGCCGATGGAATAGCTTGTGCCTTACAGTTCTAACCACTAGGCTGCATCTGCAATTTACAAGTTTACATAGTTTTTGCTTTGATTGTTGTTTTGTTTATTTACTTGGAAATATGTGGTTGAATATGGCTAATTTATGAATGATTATTGTGCTTTTTAATTTATGCTCCTACTAATATATTTTTCCTTGTACTGTTTATTTATTTAAGTTGTGGTACTATTTTTCAGGCCTGGTGCATCATCAGGTATATTTTTGGGGGCAGTAACGCTTCCTGGGCTTATGGTATCAAAGTTGATCCAGGTTTCAAGAGCAGTATCTTTAAGTCAAGTTGGAACTGAAGGTATACCACTGGTTGTTGTTTTTTACTGAACATGATAATGGATTGTTTCGAGAAATAAATGAAGGTTTAAACAACATAACTAGTTAACATGAAATAGTAATGACAGTTATGATACCCAAAAGTGCAGTATGAAGAATAAGGATAATTTGTCTGTGAATTGATACGTTATTAACACTATTTTTTCTAATATTTACTATATTGTGCTTGTGTAGCTGTCTACTGTATCTCTTAACTCAAAAGATTGTTAAGTTGCGTTCTATCTTGTGATGTTTGTACATGGAAAAGGGCTGTTTAGTAGAGGAAAGGTATAATTTTGCTTTTGCTTGTGTAGTTAAGAAGGAGCGTGGTTGTGTTTTACATATTTATTCACCTAATAGGTCGATTTCCACTAGAAACTTTCGTTAGTATATGTGAGATTGTATTCAGGATTTTTGTTGATTCCTACCTTGCCTCGCCTGTATGAATGTCTTCTTTTGATTTTGACCTTTTAACAGAGCTTGAAAATCTGCAACTACTATATTGGGTGACATCTGCAAGTTGCGTCACCGTGCTAGCTTATCTCTGCTTCATTTTTTACCGTCAATCAGACAGCAAGAATTGTGCTACTTTTCGTATTAGCTTAAGTTGCATAGCGTTGTATTGCGGAGTGTGCTGTGTCTCATTTGCTGTGAAATCTCATGATGGTAGGTCAATTTCTCTTTCTTATATTCACTTATTGATTCATTGGTCAACCCAGTAAGTTAGTTGAGCCTTTCTTAACAATTCTTGGTCAACTTCTCCTGTAGGGTGGTATGCAGTAGCAATCTTATTGTGGCTGTTCTTTCATGGATTTGCAGCAGTAAAACTAATTCAGAATATTCTTCACACTTTTCCAGCATGCGCTTCAATTGGTTGGTCATGTTACTACGTTTTTTCATTTTACTGGATATATCTGTAGCATCACAACTACCAAATTGCACACTTGATATGAGGGTCCACTCTGTTGTGCAAAGATTCAGTTCACATTCTCTTTCCACTAATCACAATAAAACTAAGATTTATTTCGGTGTTAGACAATATGAAGGAATTCTTTTACCTAGAGCTTCATTCTGCCAGTTTCCCAGTTCCATTTGGTCATGGTTTAAACAATTGTTGGATACAGTTACATATCTGCTGATGTGTATACGTTCCATCAATACATATATGTCGATTCATATCCATCCCACTGCTGCATAGCTGATGATTCATATTTAATGGCTCCTGTTATAGTCATGCCAGATGACGCAAAAATGTAGTAGGTAACAAAGATGTTATAGACACATTGGCGATAATATCGTGTAAAGACAAATCTACCGAATACGAAGATGATATTGGCAATCTTTTTCACTCTTCTTAGGATTAACCTTTATTTCTTGTTCTTTTCTCGTGAAAAATTGTTGTCTAACTATGGGAAAGGAAAAGTCTTAATATAAAAAGATCTGAAACTTGACAGTAAATTTTGGACTTTTCAAACTTTCTTTTTATATTCTTATTTTAGGGTGGCTCACATTTTGATGTTAGTTGGAAGCATGGCTCGCTTTTAGAGAAGATTAAAGCTGCTTGGATATTGTAATGTCACTTATGATGTAGGATTGGCTTGTAGTTTGTTGAAGTTGTCTTATCTGAAGTTTGAAGGAGGATTCGTACGAATTATATACAATATTTAATGTGTTTTTAATAGTTAATTGGATTAAAATAATGATTCAAATAATCACCTCAAAGTTCACAAATTATTTCTAATATAAGAACTTGTGAAGCCTATATGCAGCTAAAGTGCACTTAATGCTGATCTACGATCAATTTGCTATGACTGCTGCCAAATAAAAACCCTCCAATTCCATATCGAATTCTGCAACTTTGAACAATGCGCTGGATATTAAGTTGCACTCTTGGAACATATTTTATTCCACACAAAGCACTGTTTGAACATTCTTGTTTCGGCAATCTATATTTCTTGTTATCTTAGAGAACAGAGGCTCAAATCTTTTGACTTGTCCTATTTCGTTTTGCTTTGTTTGATGAATGGTCCTCTTGTCTTCTGCACACTAATTTGACATTCTTGTTTCTCTTCTCAGGAGAAGCATTACTGGTTACTGTTGGCCTTGTTATCTATTTCAGTGATATGCTAGCTTGTACTGCTGCTAAGGTTAGTTTCATACTTTTACTTATCTGATATTAGATGAAATGGATACCTAATAAGCAGTATTGTGTCTGTGAACAGTCCCATGGTTACTTTACTGCATCTAAGCTAGTGACAGTACCATATGGAGTCCAGAGAAGTGAAGTTAGCATTATTATTCAGGTATTGTACAAGCTGTTAGTTTTCTAGACTATCCTTTCCATATAGAGTAAAAGATTTTGATTCAGAGTACTGATCACAAAAGGTAACACTATGTTCCAGGGATTGATTACTGGCCTTCTTGTTTTCCCTATGCTATTTAAAAGCGTGCTTCAAATTTTGGAGCGGGTCAGCTCGGCACCTTCTAGAGATAGAGGAGATGATCAAATGAGGCGATCTTTTGTGTTCTATGTTTCCCTCGTATGTGTTCTTGTTGTAGCTGTGCCATCATGGATGCAGCTTGTTCAAGATTTTCATGTGCACCCTTTTCTGTGGTAAGCGTCCCTTTAGAACTCATTTATGTCGGATAATTGGACTTATTATGTTGCATATTGTTATTCTGTTGCATGATTTGGTTGATGGAGGTCTAATGGTTTGTAGGGATGATTCACACTTAAATTAGACAATTAGATTTTATTGATAAACAGTTACCTGAGACTATGCAACAAGTTGTGTGACTTATAACTGGTAGTTAAAGACTACTTTAAAAAAAAAAGTACTCGAACGAAAAGGACAAGAGTTGAGAAGACTTTGCTGTATCTTGAATGGGATGTTTAGATGTTTTTCTTGCTTCTTTTTCATTGGTCTATGTGTACTTAAGTATTCTAAGAGTTAATACTTCTTGGGATAAAGTTTACATTCTTACTCAGTATTCTTTAGTATATTGAGGCAAGAGAGAAAAAATAATGTAATTGACCAGGAATTTGCTCTAAACAGCTAAGTTCATCGTTGTTTTTCAGTTTTTACAAATGTGGTTCCTGAAGTTATAGGATCAGTTCTTGGTAACGTGTTAAGCTCATCTAGCGCCTATGTTATTCCTACCTTCTCTGGATATTGATGCCATTGAATCAGATTCTGAACCGCAAATTTATGCAATTCTCACCTGCTATTTTCATATTTATTTTTCATCTCCTACTTCACCATCAGTGGCTACCTCTAGCATTTCAACATTAGTTTGTGGTTTTCAATGGCTATTTTCACAAAATTTTAGTTCTGAAGATCCTAAATAATTGTGGAGGCATGACTTTTGAGCTTTGAGCATTTTCACAAAATTTTAGTTTTTAAGCCAAGCTCTAGCTTAAGTAACACCAACCTTCGTTCGCGAAGCTCGGTTAAGCTTGAGTTCAAGCCAAAGACCTATGAACTGAGTTGAGCCCTTGAGGCTCTAACTCAGCCCTAGGCTTGTTGCTACCATCTACCCAAGTGGAGCCAAAGACCTATGAACTGAGTTGAGCCCTTGAGGCTTTAACTCAGCCCTAGTCTTTTTGCTACCATCTGTCCACGTGGTGAACCATCAGGGTAGAATGATTAAACTAACTGAATTAAGAGGAGATTCTAAATTCTTTGTTCGGCTTCCTGCTCCTTCATTCGTGCAGTGAATAGCTCTCATATCATTTTACAGTGAATCAAAGCATATATCCTTTTCCTCCAAATATATGGAAAGTGTTACTATCTTTTGCTCATGTCTTAGTTTTCTGTCTTGTGATTGCTGCAGGGTATTGGACTTTGTTCTGTCAGAACCGCTTAAAAGGTTGTCGTTGTGTATCTATTGGTTGGTTGTTATTTATGTATCAGTTATCCGGTTTTACAACATTTCAAAGAGCAGTAAGATTGAGAGGATTCTTCTTCGGAAATACTACCATTTAATGGCTGTTTTGATGTTTGTTCCTGCTCTCATACTTCAGGTGATTTGAGTTGAAATTCTTTACGAAATCTTTCTCCTTTTGGGCCTATTATTTATTTTTATGAGAGTGGTGTTGACCATCTATGTCTTTCTTCAGCCGAAGTTTCTTGATCTGGCTTTTGGTGCAGCTTTGGCAGTTTTCTTGATATTGGAAACTATACGAGTAAGGTTTCACTGCGCTCTTGTCTTGTTTCTGGATTTCATTGGGTACAACTATCCAATGTTCCTGTGCAATTTATTATAATTTTTGATCTTATGGCTGTAGTTGTGGTAGGCCATATGGAGGGATGTGCAATGAAGAACATATCAATTTACAAGTCAAATCTTTTTCTTAGCCTCCCCCCCCCCCCCCCCCCCTAAAAAAAAAAAAAAAAAAAAAAACCCAAAAAGGACATTTCCCAATATTAATTATAAAAAGAAAAAACAGAAAACGAAATGTCTGTCAAGTTTAAGCACGCTTTTCAACTGAAGCCAAGCCTGTCAACTAAAAAGTATCTTATGTTCACTTCATATTGACTTTTGATATGAAACTTCTTGTACATGTTAAGCATCAATCAGTTTTATATAACTGAAGTCTGAATAAATTGTTGCACTTTTTTTAAATACGGAAGTATGTAATATATACTTGTAAATGCAACATGTTAAATTGTTCTTTTTCTTTTTCTTTGTTACCCATGTTCTTGGTGAACTCATTATGATTTGTGGCAATGCTTAAACTATTCATGATGCTAGTTGACATGACGCTTCACGATATTTGTCATGCCCTTTGGGACAGATATGGAGAATCTGGCCCTTGGGACAGCTTGTGCACCAATTTATGAATGCCTTTACGGATCATCGTGACACTGATCTTCTTATTGTCAGGTTTGAAATGATTCCTCCATAGCATAAAACTAGTTACAGCATATCCCTTTTGTTAACTCTAACCATTTGCCTCCTTTCCATTTTCAGCCATTTTTCACTCTTATTAGGATGTGCACTTCCTATCTGGTTGTCCTCTGGTTTCAGTGACCGACCATTAGCCCCTTTTGCTGGGATCTTGAGCCTTGGAATTGGAGATACAATGGTAGAGTTGCTAGTCTTAGCTTGTCCTATATCTTTCTCCCTGCACTAGTGTAAATATGCTTTCCAAGAACTCCTGAAATTTAGGGTTCTAGTATGATGCAGAAAGTCTAACATGCTTGAAAAGTGAAAAAATCTGGAAAGGCATCTTTTCACTAGATCACTTATTGAAAAGGATTATACTGATGTAACAGGATTGGTGTCCCCTGATCCCTTGGTAGAAGGCTTTCCTGCTGTTGGCCTTGTGGCCGGCAGACGTTCTTGCGTCTTTATTGGTGTTCTAGAAGACTAGAACAATAAACGATCTGCAATGAAGAAAGATTTATAAAGTTGTGACTTAGCTTTAGTCCAAGCAAGCACAACACTCTGCAGGGGAAACTAACTGCAATAGTGAAGAAGAACACTATTGGTAGTTTGAGTAGTAGAGAATGAGTTTAGGGTTGGTGACTCATTATTGATTATCATTTATGCACTGTAAATATTAATGTTAATCCTTTATGCAGGCATCAGTGGTTGGCTACAAGTATGGGGTCCTCCGCTGGAGTAAAACTGGCAGTATGTCTCTGTTCCCTTTCGTGTTTCGTCATTGCTTCTTTTGTATCCCTCACCATCTGAATCTATTAATTCTCTTTGGCAGAGAAGACAATTGAAGGCACTGCTGCTGGCATAACATCTGTCCTGGCTGCATGTTCCATTCTACTTCCACTTCTAGCTACATCTAGATACATCTTAGATCAGGTAGCTCTCTCCCTCAAACACATGTACAAAGGGCTGTCTGCATGCATCCTGTTCAGACCAAAAAAAGTGCTCTTGTACATGTTTATATATTAATGAGAAAGGAAATTATGTGGCCTTGGTTCAATTCAAATGGCAGTTATGCAGCTTGAACTTATTCTAACTGATGCCGTAAGAGGCATAATGTGAGATCACCTTAAAATTAACCTCCTATCCTTAAGAATAACGAATCTCATTCTAATTGCTTAGTGGCCCCTAATTATCCAAAAACCTATCAATTTCATGCCCTCTTGGGGCTGAATCGTCGAATTAAAGTAGGCACTGAGATCAGTGAATGGCGCAACCGCACATTTTTCTTAACTATGAAAGCCAACTATTGTTAAGATTCTCATAATTAACTTTGTGATTGGTTTTGATGCTGTATTGGCAATTGTGCAGAACTGGTTTTCTCTTCTTTTCGCTGTGACAATAAGCGGTCTGTTGGAAGCCTACACTGCCCAGCTGGATAATGCGTTCATACCTCTGGTGTTCTATAGCCTTTTGTGTCTGTGAACACCTATCCGCTGATCCATGAACTTTAAACTACTTTTCTGAAAACAACACGCTGATCTTTTGACAGTATCATTTAAGCACACATTCTTTTTGTAGATATCACTGTAGTAGAGTTACTTGACATGTACAATAGGTTTGATAGGAGAAAAAGCAAAAGCTACTCTTTTGTAATCTAGATGCAGAATTTGTTTACCGAAAGGTTCAAGTAAATTTTTTTTCTTCAAATGTTGTAGTTGTAACTTTTGCCTTTTATACTTCATCCTCCTTTAACGGTATGGATGTAAATAAAATAGTCAATCAGAGCTTACAGGCGCTAGGAGAGAAGTATTTGTCGAAATTTCCATGTTATGTACTGGTATTTTGAACTTAAACTAGCAGTAGTTTATGATTCATCATCTTTTTACCCTTCAAATGTTTGATTCTATTGAAGTGGAGCACTGCAACGACGACGACGACCCAGTAAAATTCCACTAGTGAGGTTTGGGGAGGGTAATTTGTACGCAGACGCTACCCCTAACCCGAGGGGTTAGAGAGGCCGTTTCCGATAGACCCTCGCACTACTAGAAAACTGGCAAAAAGCGTCCAGAAAAATTGATCGAAATCGGTTGGAATTGAACAAAAACTGATTGATTTCAATTCGTCGAAAAAACAATGGTCGCTAATGCAAGGCGACCGCAGATGGTTGATATTTTCGACCGAAGTCGGTCGGTAATTTTCAACCCACTTTGACCAAATAATCTGACACAAAATAAATTTACCGACCAAATTCGCTCGTTCTTCTTGAAAATAATTTTTAATTATTTTTAAATTAGCGATCGACTTCGGTCGGAATTTTAATTATTCATTTTTTTACTATTGTTTATTTCAGACCGAACTCGGTCGGTAATATTAAAACATTTAAAAATTAAAATCAAAATTCCGACCGAATGACTGAAGTCGGTCGGTAAATTTAAATTTCTGCAAAATTTAACTGAATATTTTCGACCGATTTCGGCTGTAGGCGGTCGGTTTTCTGGGTAAGTTTTTGGCAGAATGCAGCCGTTTTACAGTTGCACCACCTGCCAACAACCAATCACCTATAATGGCAGCATTACATTACTGCCATTCAGCCAATAACAATAATAACAACAACAATAACAACTATCAAAACTATATTAACAATATTTATAGAGTTTCAAATACCAAACAACAAAACGTTTCACAAGTTAAAAGTTCAAACATCATTCAATGAGTGTTTTGTACTACATCATCTCCATCTCCATGTCCATCCCCACTACTAGAAGCTTCATCGTCGGCATGGTTCGAAGGATCACGACGAGAAGGATTAGCATCTGGGGAAGACTCATGAGACCGGGGAATCGGGAAAGCACCACTAGCAAGAAGATTGGTCAGTTGATCTTGAAGGACATTAAATTGTTGGTCCCTCTTTTCTAGCTGAACTTGAAGGGTATCAAATTGTTTATCTCTCTTTTATTCTCTAGCCTTTGTCTCTTCAAACTCTGCTATCAGCTTTGCGATCTTCTTCTCCATAGCCGAGAGAGTCGACCTATCAATTGCCTCGCCCTGGGCGGAAGTCCCTATACCTTGCAATCCAGCACTGTAATGCCGAAATGATCTCTCTGAAAGGCCGTATACTATCCTATTTTTAGGACCACCGCCAACATCCAACCATATCTTCTGCGCTTCTTCGTCTGAAAGGGTGGTCGCTCGCCTTGCTCATTCGGTGGAAAGCTCAGAGTGTACTCCTCCACATTAGTCTTGTAGCGACCCTTTATTTAGAAGATAGAAAATTATTAACTATATAATATTATAAATATTAATTTCAAATTATAGTAGTTATGAAACTTACATATGTAGTCTCCGCCCGGTCCTCGACCCATCTAGTTGGATCTGTCGGTGCCTTCTTCTTCCGGATGTGAGTCTCCATGAAAAACTCATCATGAGTCATCTTCCTCCCACATTTTTTCCCTACAAATATAATAAAACATGTTAACTAAATTAAAATATATAAATATAGTTCGATAAAAATAAATTTAAATATTTTAAGGAATTATCAGTAGTCTCCTCGCAGTCCCCATGCTCCTTGTACCCACACAGTGGAAGGAGCCACCCTTCTCAGATGCTCGGGCCTTCTCTCCTTGTTCACTCTTCTTCTCGAATTTCTCAGTGGTCCACTGCCTCGGCAGATCCTCCCATAAATGCGGTAGAATCCATGAAGGCTTCTTGCCCTTCTTCCGAGCAGAACAGAAGGAATAAGATAGTTTCTTACAACATTTGAACTCAACATTTGCAAGAATTATACTGTTATGTCGGTCCTCCCAGGCACACTTAGTCTGCAAATGAAGTGTGTAACATTAGATGAAAATATAGTTAATATAATGCTTAAATAGATAAGAATTGTATTAAAACCTTAAATTGGTTGAAAATTTGCTCCACGAACTCCGGTGAAAATTCACTCCAAGTCACATAGGGTGCATCATACAACCGGCCAAGAGCTTCAGTGATTATCTTTGTAGTCTGAAGACTAGGTATGAACCTGCAAAATAGCAATTATATTAAATAAACAAGACTAGCTATTATAATTCAGCAAAAATAAGGAAGTAATAAATAAATCTTACCCATTACCCTCAGGCCTGATGATCATCCTATGATAACGACCGTACAACACTTCCTCTGGATCATCCTCCTCCGATGAATCTGAAGCGTGCATAGAAAGGGAGGCATTTGGCTCAGTGCTACTATCCCGAAGGCGAAGTCCAGAAATGCTAGGAGACGAACTCCATGGAGAGGGAGACGGGGTCGCTGATGAAGATGGATGCGATCTAGAACCCTGCTACGATCCATACCACTGCTGCGATCCGGGTGGCTGAAATCTAGATGGATGCGATCCAGCTGGTGGTGAAGCAAATGGAGAAGATGACGGGCGTATCACCACAAGGCCCTGTGACTGCTGACACGGTAGACCCATGTAACTATATGCAAGATCATGTGGAGGAAGCAGGGTATAGATCTGTTGTGTAGAATGGTAAGAATACTGTTGGGAGGCCGAATGGTAGGAAGTCTGATGAGTAGATGGATGTGGTGGAAAAGATGTGTGCCTAGAAGATTGCTGCCGGCCATTAGCAGCGGAGGGATGCAAGTGTGGAGTGGAAGAAAGCGAAGGTGTAGAACTATCTCATGATCAATAGGCCTCTTATCCTTTCTAGACCTACCCCGACCCCTACCGGTCATCTGCATATTAAAGAAAATGTTAGAATTGAGATATAAATCTATATAAGTTAAGAGCGCTTGAAAATCTATATAAGTTGAGAGCGCTTGAAAAAACTAACATGGTAGTCGTCTTCGAAGTATCCTTCGTCGTCCGAAAATTCTTCCTCTTCACTTATTTCATTTTCATCAGGTGATTCTTCGTCCTCATTTTCTATGATTGTTATTTCCTCCATATCAACTTCTTCTAATATGCGTTGAGGATGCTCCAAGTCATTTTCTAACTGATCATCCACCATTTGGTTAACACTTGATGTATCGTTTTGGTAAGCAACATCTAGCACATTCTCAACTTTCACCCACCAACCAATCAGCCTTATCCCTCCGCAATGGATATGGAGCATATTACACTTGCCTAACTTTTTCTGCAATTATAAAAGGATCATAGCGATCATACTCCCTCTTTTTATTAACCTCAATTATGTTGTACTGCGAGTATACATTTGTACCTCTTCTAGGTGTTGGGTCAAACCACTTGCATCGAAAAATTATGATCTTCTTATTTGGCCAACCTGAATATGATAGTTCTAGAATCTCTTTGATCAAACCATAATAATCATTTTCCCCATCCTGATTGCCTTCACCATCTTTGACACACACCCCACTGTTATTGTTTTTTTTAATACTTGGAGCATTCCTCGGTGTGAAATTTGTAACCGTTCACAAAATACTTAGACATAGTTGTAACCGTAGGTGCAGGTCCCCAAGATATATTTTTCAAAAATTGATTAACACCGTTGTTTGGATTATTGACCTACATGTAGTGTTAAATAAATCACAAGTGAGCAAGTACATTCACAAGTGACCAAGTATGTATATTCACATGTGAGAAAGTATGTAAGACGCACTTACACACTCTTTAAACCATGCCTCAAATGTAGAATATAGAGCGTCATGGCCAAATTGACTCACGAAGTCATTGAGCGACACATTGAAAATTTTGTTAGTTGCATCAACCGAATTAAATAGTAGTCCATGTAAATTAATCTTATGTCAACACTTAAGAAAGGGTTGAACTTTCGGACAATTTAGCAACACATGATTTGAAGCTGATTTGTACTTCATACTACTTAGGCCCCTTTTTGAAATATCTTTAGAACCTCGGCCTAGTTGATTGAATATGGACATTGGTGGATATAATGATCATTCTCAATCACGACATTGTGCTAATTGGGCCTATTTCTAGCACATGGCACATGACTATCGAAGTAGTAAGAACAAAAATGGGTAGTTTCCTTTGCAAGCCTTCCATTTTCTATAGGCTTTGCATATGGACCCTTCAATCCTATTCCTATGTTTAAAAAATCGTTTACACTTGCCGATAGTCCTGCACATTGTCATATTAGACGATAATGTTTAAGAAAAGTACAAGAATGAATCAAGGTTTGATCGTTACCTCTCGAAAGGATACATCCACCTGCAATTAACCGGACCTCCAAGTCGCGCATCGTGTACAGGGTGAACTGGAATGTGTTCCATCACATCAAAGAAACCACATGGAAAAATTCTTCCCAACTTATTACTGATTATAGGAATGTTCCAATTCATTTGAAATAGGTTTTCTTCCCTGATGTGGTAGAACATAAGTCTTTGAAGAACAAACTTATCTCTGTGATGGGTTTCTAGATATTTTCAAGCAACCACAGATTGCAATAGGGATTAAGGTTTCCATTAAGATATGACATTCATGACTTTTCAAATGAGTCAGCTTTCCTTCAACCATATCAGCACATATTCCCAGGTTTGAAGCATAGCCCTCAAGCATCTTTAGGTTTGTAACCCACTCAGAAATCTGTCGTCTTTGTTCCACAGGGAATGTGTAGTTGGCCTTGGGATTGAACACCTTATCATTGTTCGCAGACTGCAAATGTAATTCAGGTCGCATGCAATATTTTTGTAAGTCTAGTCTAGCCTTCGAGTTATCTTTTGTCTTATTCTTATCATCCATCACTGTGTTGAACAAATTGTCAAAATAGTTCTTCTCAATATGCAAGACATCAAGATTATGTCTGAGAAGATTATCCTTCTAATATGGCAACTCCCAAAGTATGCTCTGTTTTGTCTAGTTAT